GAAGGGGTGGGGGGAGTCAAAGGGGAAACCCTGGTTGTATCCCATTTACTCTGCCTTTCAGTATCCACAAGACGACAGAGGCCTTTGATGTGCTTAGCGGATCATGAGCTTGTGCCCCTCAGGGAAGAACTATAAGCCTCCCTTAGCAGGTAGGCCAGTGAGGACACATCAAGCGAGTTCAGGAAACAACTAAAGAGAAAACAGGAACAGGAGTGAGGTCACAGGTTTTAAATAAGTGCTCCAAGGATAGACATTTCATAGACATCAGGGCTGGAAGGGACCTCGGAAGATCATCGAGTCCAGCCCCCCGCCCAAAGGGCAGGAAGTCAGCTGGGGTCATAGAATCCCAGCAAGATAAGCATCCAGTTTCATCTTGAAGGTGTTCAATGAAGGCGCTTGAACCACCTCCGGTGGCAGGCTGTTCCAGACCTTGGGGGCTCGGACAGTAAAGAAATTCTTCCTTATGCCCAGCCTGAAATGATCTTGAAGTAGTTTGTGACCATTCGACCTCGTCATCCCTTGGGGCGCTCTGGTGAACAAACGTTCCCCCAGATGCTGGTGGTCACCCCTGATAAACTTGTAGGTGGCCAGCAGATCACCCCTGAGCCTGCAGAGCCCCAGGGCTCTCAGCCTGTCATCGTAGGGTCTGCTTCCCTGACCTCTGATCATGCGCGTGGCTCTTCTCTGGACTCTCTCAAGCTTCTCCACATCCTTTTTGAATTGTGGAGCCCAAAACTGGACACAGTACTCCAGCTGCGGCCTCACTAAGGCCGAGTACAGGGGGAGAATGATGTCCCGGGATTTGCTTGAGAAGCATCTATGGATGCAAGCCAGCGTTTTGGTCGCTTTACTAGCCGCCGCATCGCATTGCAGGCTCATGTTCATCTTGTGGTCAATGACGACCCCCAAGTCTCTTTCTTCCATAGTGCTAGCCAACATAGCACTGCTGAGCCTATAAGGATGCTGAGGGTTTTTCTTCCCAAGGTGGAGAACCTTGCATTTATCGGCGTTGAACACCATCAGATTCTCGTCCGCCCACTTGCTGAGCCTGTCCAGGTCAGCCTGGATAACCTGCCTGTCTTCTGGTGTGGATGCTTTGCCCCAGAGGTTGGTGTCATCGGCGAACTTGGCCAGTTCTGATCGCTTCTGACTCCAGTGTCCACATCATTAATGAAGATGTTGAACAGTATGGGTCCAAGGACAGAGCCTTGGGGGACCCCACTGGTCACAGGACACCACGATGAGTGACTTCCATCGATTACTACCCTCTGGGTCCGACCCCGGAGCCAATTTTCCAGCCAGCGGATCGTGGAGGACCCAAGGCGACAATTGGCCAGTTTCTCCAAGAGGCGATCATGGGACACCAGATCGAAGGCTTTTTTGAAGTCAAGATATATGACATCAATCTCTTCTCCCTTGTCCAGGTGATAGGTCACCTGGTCGTAGAAGGAAATGAGATTGGTCAAGCAAGACCTACCCGCAACAAACCCATGCTGGCTATCCCTTAAGATGTTGGCGTTGGCCAGTCCATTAAGGATGGCCTCTTTAATAAACTTTTCTAAGATCTTCCCCGGGATAGAAGTCAGGCTGATGGGCCTATAGTTAGCTGGATCCACTTTCCTCCCTTTCTTGAAGATAGGCACCACATTGGCCTTCTTCCAGTCTTCGGGCACTACACCAGAGCGCCAAGAGTTTTCAAAGATCCGTGCTAGAGGCTGGGCTATGATGCTCGCCAGCTCCTTGAGTACCCTGGGGTGAAGATTGTCAGGGCTGGCTGACTTGAAGGTATCCAGCTTCTCAAGATGTTCCTTCAGAAAGTCAGCATTAATGGAAGGCAGGGGATCACCCTCACCCGGACTTCCCGGCCCTGTAGTGGGCATGGGCGTCCCATGGGACTGATTAAAGACTGACATGGAGCAGAGCTCATGAGCCAGCGCTCACTGACCCTCCAATGTTTCCAAGGAGCCAGTGGACGCTACCTGGTGAAACTCTGCCCAGAGAGATGAAAGGACAAAGGACAGGAGAATGGCCCTACAGTCTCCAGGGGTCCTCCATGCCAGGGCCTCCCTCCTGCTCAGGTTGATTCCTAACTTAACTAGGAGAAGGTTGACTAGGAATCCTGGGGACTCAGTGGGGCCACAGATGGGGAGTGCATAAACAAACAGGTGTGGGGAGTAGTGCAGCCAGAACCTCACCAGGAGGTTCTGGAGGAGACCATGAAGGGGCTCTATGTAGGTGTTTGCCAGGGTCAGGATGACACAGGACACTAGGCAATATGAACCTATGGATCTGACCCAGGAAGTGGCAAGTCTTCTGTACTCTGAAGGCTGCTTTGAAAAGAAACCCTTAGTGGTTACCAAGGACCCTGTTGTATGGTAACTTTGGGCAGCTCCTGGAGCCCTGAATCCCTGGATTGTCTGTACACTTAACACCTGAAGCTAGTTTTAAGCACTTGTTAGGGCAGGATTCTCTCTGATCTGTGCTACCCAGCTCATGTTACACCACTCTACCACTATGTGCAACCACTCTACGCTACACCTCCCATTGCACCTCCCACATTGGTCTGGATAGGGTTCACTTCCCCTGCACCCAGCTTAGGCTGCCTGCACTGTCTCCTGGGAGAGCAGGTAGGGAAGGGATAGTCTGCTTGCATACACTAAAGCTCTCTGGGCAGGCTCAGCCTGCAAAAGAGCAGTGGTCCCAGTGTCACGGCCAGGCAAGCAGGTTAACCCCTGCCTCCCTGACTGCTCCCCTGAAACAGACAGCATAGACAACCATAAGTAAGGAAGCAGGTGAAGGGGAGTATGTAGGGTAAGAGAGGACCCCAGGAGGCAGGAAGGGAGCTGGAATGGGGCAGGTGGGGATACTTACCTTTCATTCCTCCAGGCCCCTGCTGGGCTGAACATGCAGCTACTCCAAAACTCAAGCTAGCACTAATACTGATCAAAATCTGCGCAGCTCATAGTGTAAGGTAACAGGGCGCTTAGGGTGGTCTGGAGCTAGGAAACACTACTGACACTATTTTCTATCCTTAAATTGTTTCAAATGACAGTATCTTGAATAGTATGGAATATAATAGGAACACAAGGGACCACATATACAGACTTCTCAGGATTGCAAGTATTAAGCTAAATATATGAACTTAAGAACAGTTTAGTTAAGGTGCAACAAGGCCTTACGGCAAAACATCCTTGATCCCCTTCCTGCTTCCCCAGATACTTGTGGCCGAGTTGTAATACGAACTGTCATGCCTGACCACTCCCCACCCCTTTCTCCTGATAAGCAGGATACCTTTCAGGTGCCCCTAGGAAATAAGGCTGAAGTTGGTTCCTGATTCCTGGCTCCCAGCTCTTATTCAGAGCTAATCTTTACTAAAGTCTGCAGGTTAGACTTGCTCAACAGTTATATATTTTTGATGAAATTTTATTTCCTAATAAAAATGTAAAATAATATCATGCATCAAGTGCGCAGCCCTGAATAAGGAGCTGAGATTAGGCTGGGATGATGGAGCAAAATGCTTTTTGAGTCACCCCAAGGAACTGGGACTAAGGAACCAACTTCAGCCTCATCCCTAGGAGTCAAAGAGAAGTAGGGCTGGAAGAGACCTCCCGAGGTCATCTAGTCCAGAATTTCACAGCCTATGGATTGCAAGAATATACAAGAGAGTCATGAACAAACTTGAAAAGTGGATTTTCTTTTAAAGAAGAAAAGCAAGAGAAATGTGGCTTTGACCTTGCAGGCTGGCTGGGTTCCAGCTTGCAAGAGGCTGCTTGAGGGCCCCACCATTCCCAGACAGCCCCCCAGCCCTGGGAGCCTGGCAGCAAGGGGCAGTGGGTGGGGAGTGAGGGGCCCCAGCAGGACCGGGGGAGTCTTCTACTTACTGGATCAGGACTGGCCATCAATGTTTACAAATGGGTCCTGGTACAAAAAAAGGTTGAGAACCACTGATCTAGTCCAACCCCTTGCCCAAGGCAGGATCATCCCTATCCAAGCCATCCCATAACCATCCAAACTCTACATCAGACTGCTGTCAACCCTGACAACACAGACCTAACACCCTGGGCTGCCACAAGCAAAACAGGGGACCCGGCAGCCCACATCCTGCTTTTGTGAAACGTCCTCAATGTGTTCAAGAGGTCCAAGGGGAAGAAGGAAGGCACAGAGGAGGTACCTTGGAGAGGGCCATACTCTCTGCAAAACTTCCCCTTCCCCCAGTCTGACCAGTGGGGTAAAGATTCCTCCCTGACCCCAAATCTGGCAGTCGGTCTGACCTGGAGCAGAGGAACAAGACCCTCTAGCCAGAAACCTCCAGCTTTGCTCCCAGCAGGAGCATCTGCACAGGCCAGCTGCATTCCTCAGCCCTGGCTGTAGCTTAACCCCCCTCCCCGACACATCTGGCAGGAAAAAAAAAAATAAAAAAAGGTTGGGGGAGCAACCAGCACAGTCCAAAAGCCTGGAAACACCCCAGTGCCCAGGGGCTGCCCCAGCTCTTCTGAGCACCTCCAGCAAGCCCCGGCCCCTGCCCTCGCTGCTCACAGCGCGGGATGGAGCCCCACGCAGCAGAGGGAGGGAGGTAGGGTGCGCAGGCAGAAACTCCCCAGCATTTCCAGGTCTTAAATACGAAGCTAGCGTACTGGAAGCTCAACATTATCATATTTATCAGACACTGGAAAAAAATGCAAACAAGCATGCAAAGCCGCCTTCTTGTTCCTTACTTTATGTCGCTCACTAAGTCACCAGCAAGCGAGTGAGCAAGGACTTGATCATCCAAGTTAAAGCCTTCCTCCCCCCTTTTAAAATTTTGAGGCAAGCCATCGTGAGAAAAAGTGTTGACAGCAACCCACTCCCCAAGAACAAAAGTACACCCCCACATGGGTGAAGACTCTCCGAGCATGACAGGCTGAGCATCAATGAGCTGCCTCCAAAATGAGTAGCCGCTTTGAACCCTTGCTCGCGGCCTGGCCCCAGGGGGCCAGGCTGGTGGCCGCCGAGGCACTCACCGCCGGGCCAGCTGGAGGCGAGGCTCTGCAGCAGGGTGCCGGGTACGCAGAAGAGGGCGATGAGCAGGTCGCTGAGCGCCAGGGAGCCCAGGAAGATGTTGGTGGCGCTGCGCAGGGCGCGGCGGCGGCTCAGCACGTAGAGCACCAGCCCGTTGCTCGCCAGCGCCAGGGTACAGATGAGGCCGCACAGGAGCCCCACGGCCAGCTTGGCGCGGCCGGGCAGCTCGGGGGCGGACACCAGCGGTCGCAGCCCGTACAGGGCGATGAACTGCTCCCGCGTCACATTGTGGGCCCGCAGCAGCCGCCGCAAGCGCTCCGGGGTGAGGACCGGTGTGTACATGGAGACGCTGCTCGCCCCAGGGCGCCCCGCGCTGTCTGCCAGCCGCCTGCCCCGTTCCGGGGCTTTATCGGCGCCGCCAGCCAATCAGCGCGCGAAGAGAAGCCCGCCCGGCCCCGGGGGTCCTTCCAGCTCCTGAGCCAGGCGAGCGCTGCGATGGTTCGCCGCGCCCAGCTGGGAGCGCTGGGCCGGGACACACTGAGGGAGAGTTTCCTTCTTCCTTTCCTCGCTCTTGCTGAACAGAGTGCGGCAAACAGTGGGGTTTAAAGAGGGGCCAGGACTTTGCCACGGTTTTATTTCATGACAGAGGGTAAAGAAGCAAACACCATGCGTCTGGGTCTCTTGAAGGCTCGCGGGACAAGCAGCGTGGCTTCTTAAGCTGGCAGGGGAAATAAGAAGGCAGTTTTCCTGAAGTGTGCCCCATTGGTGCAGCTTTAAGCTCAGCTTATGGAAATGGTTGCTCCTCCCTTGCTTGCTCTAAGGGCCCTACGGCTGAGGGCAAGCAAAACTCGGGGGCATCTCCAGGCTTGGGCCTGCAAGCAGGATGCCTGCCAAAGGTTTTTTGGAACCATCTGAAGCCCCAGATGTGGGTTTGCTGGTAGTAGGGCCACTATGGCTCTGGACACTTGGATTTGGAATTAGTTTTGGCTCATTTGTCCATGGATACAAATAAAATAAACAATAATAAAAAAAAACCCCACCATGTATTTGGGTCCATGAAGGCAGTTTTGAAGGGATAACTGCTCTTCTGGTGTGGTTTAGTACCCGCTGAGGTCTTGGGGCTTAAAGTCCACTTTACGGAAATGGGTGGCTTCTCCCTAGCTTCTTCCTGTGGCCCTATGGCCAAGAGCAGGCGAAACTTGGGGGCATCCGAACCCCAAGCTTCCGGGTTTGGGCCTGCACGTAGGATGCCTGCAAAAAGCCTTTGGAAATATCTGAAGCCCCTGGTGGGGGTGGAGGGATGTTTGCCGGTTGTAGGGCCACCTATGGTTCTGCACTGACTCATGGATTTGGACTTGATTTGGCTTGGAACGTGAAACATTTCTTTAAAAATAAATAAATCAATCAATCAACCTGGCAGGGGAAATACCGTGACCACTAAGGAGGTTTTCCTAGTCGCACTGGGGGATAACCACTTTCCTGGCGTGGGGTAGTACCCGCCATGAACACCACATGCCCCTAGAGGCTGGAGTGGGGCACAGCAAGCTCCTGCAGGCGGCTGTGGCACTGTTGCCGGAATTGGGCCTGCACATGGGATACCTGCCAAAGGATTTGAAAACATCTGAAGTCCTAGGTGGGTGTGGAAGATGTTTGCCAGTAGTAGGGCCACTTATGGCTCTTGACTGACTCATGGATTTGGAATTGATTTGGCTTGGAACATGAAACATTTTCGTTAAAAAAGAAAGGTATTATACATAATAAGAAAAGGAAAGAAAGAGAGAGAGAGAGAGAGAGTGGACGCAGAAAAGAGAGAGAGCAAGAGAGAGACCAGATAGAAGAGAGCGAGAGAAGTGAAGGGGGTTCCTTCTTCCTTCCTTGCTCTTGCTTAACAGAGCGCGGCAAAGAATCAACTTAAAAGAGCAGTCGGGGCTTTGCAAAGGTTTTATTTGTGGCAGAGGGTGAACTCCAGCAACAAGGTGCAATACAGTATAAGAAGAGAGAATGAAAGAGCAGATAGAAAAGAAAGAGAGAAAAAAGATAAGGGAGAAAAGAAAAAAACAAAACTCTTTACTAAAAGAAAAAGAAAGCTCATCTGCTTACACAGGTCCCTAGACACTGTCTGCAGTTCCACTGTAGCCCCATGACAGGGACTTAAAAAAACTGCAAAAATTGTTAAACAGTTATTTGAGCTCTCAACATGAATCGTTCTAACAGTCTTCAAACCAAGAAACTGCAAAGGTGGAAAGAGATTGCAAAGCCTGATCTCTCTTGTTCTGATAAAGTGCCCCCCCCTGCAGAAACAATACCTCTTACCTCTTTTTTGTGTGTGTGTTCAGATATAAGTGCACCAATATAATAAAACATAGCTCCATTGTTGCCATTCCTGCATGGCATTTGTATAACTGAATATTATAATAGTGGAAACTATGATTATGGAAAAATTCAATGTTTTCAATGTAGATTGGGTAACAAACACCACACGCAGGATATATATTATGGTGCAGATCTTCCTGGATGAGCTAGCTAATAGCTATTTCTATCCTATGTTCCCTGTGGCAGTGAGAAACAAAGCTACACTGGATTTTGTTTTACTAGTGGGGAGTATCTTGTAGAACTGTTGGAAAATCAGAGCAAGCGATCACATCCTTACTCAGTGTAGAGTAAAACTGCAAGAGGTCTGTAACAAGGTTCTTGCACTTCAGAAGGGCTAACTTTGAGAAACTAAGATAATTAGGTAAGGAGTTTGATTGGATTCAAGAGTTAAAGAGGGGGAAGCAGCATGAAACTATTTTAAGGCAAAAGTACAAACACTGCCTAAGGCTTGCTTCCCAGGCAAAAAGAAAAAAATAGGTAGGGAAGGACTACAGTCCTCCATAGATCTCAGGAACCTCAAGGAGGCCATTGAGAATAAGCAGATTTACACACAGTGAAAAATGGGACTGATCAGGTAGCAGGAAAAAAAAATCTCTCTATGGTCAAGAAATGCAGGAACTGAGAAAAAATAGCCAAAGACCTAGCTGAGCTCAGTCTTGTAATAAAAATGAAAATGTATAGCAAAAGCTTCTTTAGTGATATAGTGGTAAATAAAAAAATACAATCAGGAGGGATTTACTGGGGCCACTATGTTGAAACAGCGATGGAGATCAAGGATAACCCAGGCATGGCCCAAAAGAACTGGACAAATACTTTGCCTCGGTCTTCATTCAAGAAGAGGTAACAAAGGATACTAGTGGAATACCACATGGCAAGGAAGACATAAATATATACCTATCCTTAGGTGGAAGGAAAACTTACCCTGCTTGCTATCACAGAATCAGGGGGCCCAAATAATCTCCATCCTAGAACATGGAAAGAATTGGTACACAGAAGGGAAACTCTTCTAGTATGGGTTTTAACAACTCTGTCAATTCAGGGAGAGTACCTAAAGATGATAACAAATGTATTAGCTGTTAAAAAAAAAAAAGGATAGTGATCCAGGCAATTAATGCCTTGTGAGACTGCCTTCAACAGTAGGCTCATCTGAGGGAGGCTTAGGCAAGGTATATGCAGTAGATACAAGGATATGCTAGCACCACTGTACAAGGCCTTGGTAAGGCCCCATTTAGATGACTGTGTGTAGTTCTGGTCATCAGTGCTCAGAAAAAATGTAATTTCAATTGGAACGAGTTTAAAGAAAAGCCATGAAGATGGGTAAGGGAATGGAGACCTTTTCTTATGAAAGAGCTTGGCTTGTTAAATTTAGAGATGTAATTAGTCATGTTAGTCCAGCAAAATGGAGATTGAGAGGGGATATAATTACCCTTTACTAGTACTAGTCTAGTAGGGTGAATTGTTGGTTTTGTGAACAGCTTAAGTGAAAAAACAACAACAGCACAAGGTCAAATGACTAAGTGCCTATTGAAAAACTTAGATTCAAATTTAGAAAAAAAATAATAACTATCACAGGAAACAAGGAACCTACTGAGAATATCTTTTTAAAGGAAGAAATGTTGGTTGCTTTTCTTAATTAAGAGTGCTAGCTCTTTAATTAGCTGTGATGTCAATGCTTGACAGTCAAGTTTTCTTCCATGTGAAAATCAATTCTGACAAAAATGTGCCTTATCTTTCAGAAATCAGTGCCTTTTCAAAAATCAAAAATAATAAAAGCCCTTATCTGAAGCACTCTGTCCATTTTATGCCAGATTGCTGATTTCCAAGTGAATAGTGCTTCCAAACAGTAAGTTATCTATTAAGACAAAATGTTCTCAGCAATAATGATCAGCTTGTTTTCTGCTGTTTAAAACAAGGTATTTTGGCTGACTGGTAACCATTGAGTGCCATCATTTCCTAGGTCTACATGACCATTACCTCTGTTATAGCATCACCAGGCACTCTCCACACACCAGAAAGATGAACCTGCCCAGAGATATCCAGTGTAGGAGATTAAAACTTCAGTTTTCCCTGTAGAATGATCCCTTTGGAAGAAGGGACTGGAGTCCTCCTTACCCCACTGTGGCAGAAAAACTTGCCCCTGTGGCTGCAGGATGTCATCAAGTTGCTTTGGGTCCTACATTTTACTTACTACAAGATCTTTCTATGTGGGGCCTTACTAACTTTATATCCACAAGGGATGGATACTTATTAAGTTCAGGTGTCCCATAACCTTCCTTCTAGGCCTTTATACTAGGTCAGGTAGACTCATTCTTCCAGGATTCAGGAGTGCCACAATCCTCCCTTCTGAAATCAGAAGTCTTATTGCTCTGTTGGGGCCATAGTAACTTAAGCCAACAACAGCCTAAAACCCCTTTCTCCCAGGTAGTATCTTGCTTCTATTTAGTCATGCTACTCTTAAGCTGAGAGAGCTCAGCAAAAACAAAACAAAAGACAAAATAAAACAAAACCCACTTCATGCCATCATCTTCTTTTCCTGTGGACAACTCCAATTTTCCATTAGGAGGAAGAAAGCAGAGTAAATGCTGCCCATCCCCAGGGGCCTTGTCCTAGGTAGTGGATGAGAGAAGCAGCTTTCCCCCTTTACTATAAGGCTTTGCTCCCAAGCCTTTAAAGATACAGTAGCACGGGTTTCTCAATGCCTTCAAACACCAACTAATCCCGCAGGACAACCTTCTCCCCTTCAGTATCTGTCTCTTGCATTTCCTAGGCCCTCAGGTATTCTAAAGCTCCAGGAACATTAAAGGGGCCATGCCATGGAACAGGGATTGTTTAACACCATAGTCCTCATAGCCCACCACAGTTAGACTGCCATAAAAGGAAGGGGATCAGGCCTCAAATCCAGCTGATACCCTCAGATCCAGAGATGCTATAACTGCCTATTTGTACAGAGTTCATCTGAAAAGCTGGGC